ACTAGAAACTATTAAATCATTTTGACATACTTTGATCATCACTTTTAGTCTTGTCTAGGCTGATTGCTTTCTTACTAATTTGTTTTCTGTAAGTACAACAACAGTGTAAATTACATTAATTAGAGTGATATTTATTTACTTTGAATTAGTCCCTTCTCTTCGGGTACTTTTAGCTTTTTCTACTATAAAAATGATATGCATGTATTCAACTTTTCTAATGCCCTTTTATGTTATATCTATAATCTGTATTTCAACCTCTCTCTCCTGAAGTCATATACACATGTACATGTATTTATAAGTATGAAACTATGAATTAGTATAGCTATGACAGGTAAGCAAAGGGGCGGGGTGAGACTAAGCTATGAATGGATTTGTTTGTAAAAATAAGTTAATTAAACTCAAATGTAAATTAGTTTATTCAAGTAAATGTTATATTATACATTATAAAATAAATATCATTTCACTCACTGATGTAATCAGCTGTTGTATTTTGATTATTATCTTCAAGAGCTTTAATTAATGTGCTCCAGTTTGCTCCTCCTTTATCATTTACATCATCAGCTTTCTCTAACCATTTTACTAGACACTCTCTAACACATTTATTAGCATCTTGAGATCTTGGATAATCCACCTCAATTCTTTTTAGTGTCTTATCATATAAACCCAAAGCAAAGCCAAAACTAAACCAATCTATAGATTTAACACCTCTAAGCAACATCCGTACATCATGCAAATGTGTTGTGTTCAATAAAGCATCATCTTTTATTCCTGTAATTATCATAAAAAATTATAACTTTAAAAAGTAATTACCTGCTGCAATAGAGTCAGATTCAAGACCAAACCAGCACCAGTAACTCTCATCATTTTTACTAATATCATTTGAATCACACTTTGAGCAATTTGCTACCTTATACTCTTCATTCACTATACAATAACACTGCTTTTCTTTCTTGGGACAAGGAAAAGCATTTGCATAATTGTGTTTGACATTGATGGCATCAGAGCTTTTATTAATGGTTGTGGTAATTAGCTCACGGACTTGTGGACAATAGTTTTGAGGACAATATTTTTGTGGACCATCTAAATAGACTTCAATATGTTTATAGCGATTGATGATGTAAAGTGTAAAACGTTTTTCTTCAATGTAGACCCAAAGTGAAACAGCATCACGATACTTGAGGTTTGGAGCAAATTTAACGTCATATTCTTTCTGTTGAAGCAAACGGACATAAATTAAGGGGAAAAGCCCTTGAGGAATGTGGACTGAATTTTTTGGTTCCCATTCATCTTTCGCCTCCTCTAGCCACACATAATAAAGAGGCTTTATACTTTCAGGTAGATCATTATCATTGTTGTAAGAAGGTAAAGCAGAAGGAAGGAAATAGCTATGGCTTTTCAGTTTTGTAATAATATGAAGATGTTCAAGCAGGTCAATAAAATAATCTGGTGTGAAATCATCTAAGAATACACCAGAAAACTTTTCAAGAAGATCTTTTTTGAAACAGCCTCTTTCCTTAAGACGTGTCATCTCATCCTGTGATATTTTCGGTACCAGTTTTGTTGCTGGTATTGGATAACTGACATAAGTAAGAGCTAACAAATGAGAAAGAACATCGATGATTTTTTGAGGGTTAACGAAAACTAGTTCTGGTTTGACCTCAGGTTGGTATAAAATGATTGTGCTATTGT